TTTCCAATCAAGGACCGCCAGGTTTTGGGGGTTAAGCTTTGAGTCTGGCTTCAGCCTTTAGAGTCGTCCTAAAGAGATTACAGTCCAGCACTACAGAGACGGAGCAGAAATCCAGTTTGAAAATATCCCCCCGTAGCCTGCAGCGGCTGCAGAGCGGGCAGGAGGGTCCCATATGGAGAGTCGAGGCGATGCAGTGCGTCTGACTGAGCTCACACAGAAACTCACGGCTCCACTGAACATTAACATCCAGACCCAGCTGGCCGGGCCGTGCTGTGTGTTTGGAAGTGTGCGCTCTGAAGTACAGACACACAACCGGACCGAGGGAACGTACACACACGTGAGCATATGAAGTACACACACTGTTTGTTCTTTAATTGTTGCACTAACGCTCGTCTCTTAAAGACTCTTAAAGATCCCACTGTTTGAGCAACCACTTACAAATCTGCATTATGAGAATAAACCCCCAGGCGACACACACACACACACACACACACACACACACACACACACACACAACTATACATATATCAGACACACACATTCCACACTACAGACTGCAGCAGATTTTATTGTCACACATGTATGCCTTTACAATCAAGAGAGATAAATGAGCTTTCCGCTGATGGAAAAACAACCGGCTAACACTAAGTGAACGGGATGGAGACGGTAAAATAAAAAACGACTCACCTCTTACACACACACACACACACACACACACACGGACACACACAAATGAATAGAATACAGGATCACTGAAATAGAAAATTGTTTCACAAAGTGAAAAACAATTTTAATGAGCCTGTAAAGGTTGTCAAGGGGAGGAGAATTACACATGCACCTACGCACACACACTTACACAAACATGCAAGCATGAACACACACATGCACACTCAAATACGTATGCTTTTTTTTTTTTTCAGTAACACTGGATAAAGCCCCTGTGAAGTGCAGCTCATTAACCAACTTCTAACGCATAATTGAAAGCCGAACGTGACTGAAATGGTTCAGGAGATTGTGCCGCGGCCGATTCCGTCGTCGGTTTGTGCGTGTTTCGCTGCCAGCGAGCTGATGAGGCTTCGCACAATGCAGTTATTTCCACAACAAAAGGCTTAACAGAAATAGCACAAAAGCTTTCACCTGGACAAATGAGGCTGAAATTACCAGGGAAGAAAATACTCTGCTGTTTTTTCCTCACATATTCCCTCCTCGGTTACAAACTGTGAGGCCAAATAATTAAATCAAGAGGTCAGCTTGTGCAGCTACTAATCAAAAAAGGAGACTTTAATGACATCTTTCTGTGTGTGTTCCTTCTGATTGGTGAAAACATTTTGCTCCAGACATTAATAACCACTTACTCATGTGTGAGAGACAGAAAAAGGCAGCGTTAAAGAGAAAACACATGTCCAATTATATGCCATTTACTTCGATTTCCATTCTTAAAGGCGCTCATGCAAACTTTCTCCCGTCGCACACACGAGCAGCCCAACATCTGTGTGGGAGACGCTCAGAAGCAGCGGTGCTCAGCCCCACCAAAGCGTGTTATTAGCATCCGACACCGCGCAGCGCTAATGCTGACACTCCGCGCAAATGACTGTAATTAAACACCAAGCACAGAGTAAGCTTAAAACAATGAGGCGGCAGCTCAGGAGCACGACTCCACAACACGGGAGCGATTTGGGAAAGTTGGAGAACAATAATCCTGAAACTATCAGAGCCAATGCTGGATTACAGCCTCTGAGATGTTTCTGATGCGAGAAGCAAATTACATGAAGTACAAAAATGCATCTTTATTTATTTGCTATCACCGACATTGCCTAAAAAATCCCTCAGACTGTGTCCACATGCATTAAACACACACACACAAAGCTGTGGCCTCATTTCTGCGACTTCAAATTCATTTTTTTCCCCAAAGAGTAATATTTTAGCACCTTTTTCAGTCGTGCTTCAGTCCAAGCACAGCTGTTGAGGTTTTAAAGGACTAGTGTGAGATTATATTTGTTTTCATGCAGAGAGTTGGATGAGAGGATTCAGATCACTTTCACATCTGTTTGGTAAAAACATCCAGGAGGAGCAGGCAGAAACTGAAAATCTGCATCTCAAAATCTCGTGTTTTTATATAAGTTACTGGAACAAAAGCTTTTAACTATAATATCCTGAACAATTTATCGTCATTTTACATTTTTAAAATTACAGATAATTAGTAAAATCCCAGAAAAAAGTTGTCATTTACTAGTCAATGAATAAAAATTGTGAATAAAAATAATAAACAAATCAAAAATCTGTATTTTTTAAAATAAATTCATTCTTTTAAAACATTTGATGTCAAAATTATACTATTTTTATCAGCAAAATATAATTATTGTACAGATATTTGCAGTTATTTCAAAAAAAAAAAAAGTATATTAAGATCTGAAAAATGTTAAATAATTATTGAAGCTGTTATTTCACAGATTTTTCCTGTTTTGTTAAATTACAGATAACATCTAGTAAAGTCTAAAAACTGTCCATAATGTATTTGCACAAATAGTAATTTGTTCTTTTACTGTATATAAATCTGTTAAAAAAATAGATCTTACAGGTATTTGGTGTTATTTTCACCAATTCTTTTAAAGTTTTTTACTTTTCTGTTGTGGTTTAAGGAGTTTTAAGGTTGCCAGATTTTCACCGTCTTTAACGAGTTTTTTTTTTTAACAACATGCTGTCAGATATAAGTATAATAATTTATATAAAGTTCACAACATCGTGGCGTCTCAAACAAAACTAATAATGCTGTTTAGCTGTATGTTGTTCCTTTGTTGAAGCGCTGAATAGATAGTTAGTGGTACTGGAATATTTACAGTAAATATCGTGTTTTTTCTCAATACTAGTATATTGCGATGGACAACTTTACTAAATATGTTCAAACCGTCATCCTGAGGTTATTACATGCTGCCTCTTTTGTTTGTTCTTACTCGAGGAAGTCAACAAAATCATCATCCTGTAATAAAAACGCACCTTTCAGCTTTCTTGTACTCCTGTTTAGAAACTCTGAAACTGCTCCTGCATCATCTAACCTTGTTCATTATTTTACATTTCAGCTGTCATTTGTTATCTTCCTGTATTCGGGAGAGGCGACGGATCACCTGGTGTGAGTCACGATGTCGGTGAGCGCTCCGCCCTCCAGGAACTCCATGACGACCCACAGCTCGTCTCCCACCAGGTAACTGTTGTACATGTCCACAACGTTTTCATGATGGTAGTCCCTCATGATCACCACCTAAAACACACACACACAGGGGCAGAAACAACTTTGGTTTATTTGTATTACTTCTACTGGCTCACTGCTTTCGTTTGTAACATGCATCAGGCAGCAAAGTAAATCTCAAACTCAAATACGGCAGCAAGTATATTGTTGTGTAAATGAGAAATAAACAGTAGAATAGTGTGTTTATTCGTATGATGATTGTGATACAGAGCCGTCATTGGCCTATTGTTTCTATATTGGTATCCGGGATATGCAGAAAACACTAAAAACACACTTACTGTATGATATAAAACCTCAGTTTTTAACCTGTAAAGTTAAGAGTAGGGAACTATAGGGATGTACGATGCCACAAAATTAACATTAACAGGCAGATGATGACTGAAAATGTACAGGTGTGTTTTAAAACATTACATAAAAACAAATACGCCATGTTTTACTTGTAATTTAAAGCAGTTTTCTTATGCTGCCCGGTGAATGTGTACATTTGAAAAGCACTATGTCTGCTTCTGTCATCACAATAAGCGTAGGCATAATGACTGGATGTTCTCTAAAATTTAGTCTTGCAGAGTCAGATTAACCTACACAGCTCTGGAGAACAGTCTGGCTGCACCTTATTATCATTATACCATAGGAGGAACAACCATCTGACTTGCTTGTATTGCTTTAATCAGAATTGCATTAAGAGGCTCTAAGCCCAGGATGCAGCACTGGTGCCCCGACAAAGCAGTGATGGGGGAGTTGTTTTGATGAAACATTAGTGCACGGAGGAGGCGTTCGTTCCCTAAAAGAACCAAACAAGTTTGTCTTATTGCATGATCCAAATCCTCTGCTAAACTTTCCGGTGTTGAAGTTGCCGCTCGGTGGTTGCTGTTTCCTGTAGGGATTTAAAAATAGTAATAGACAGATAGCGGAAGAGGAGGAGAAAGCTGTGTGAAATCCACTGCAGAAATGGCAAATAAGTTATTCCCAAAATCTACAGGTGAGTCAGATTGTCTGAAATAAGGTGGGAAAAATATGTATATATATAATTATATATATGTGTATGTGTGGCTGGAAAAATCCAATTCTGTGGGCGACCCAGTAGCTGATTTCATATTAAATGGGAGAAATCGAACTAGTGGTCACTCCCCTGATGTCTTTCCTCCCTTCTCCTGCCCATCTCTACTGCGCCCATCAAAATAAAAGCAAAATGCCCTCAAAAAAATTAAAATGGATGCATTTTAAAAAAACAAGTTAATAGGAAAATGATAAAAATCAAGAAGAGCACGCTGTAGGGAGTCGCATTCCTCCACAGGTTAAGAACCATTAATATAAAACAGCATCCCTGCACCCATGTTCAGTGTGTTACAATTAATTCATGTACTATTTCAGCAGTTTATTAAATGTATTCATGTAATTTCATGTTTTTTTTTAAATTAATTTAACTTTCCTTTGTCTAATGTGAACATGTTCTGGAGGCTTAACCATACAAGGATTACACTCAGAAATTAATAGGATTACATGAAGCAAATTAGTTCCCAGCTGAACACCCACAGCTGCACATCTGTGTTCACTGCACGCGCACATGCCAGCAAACATGCATGAAGTCTCTCGGTGTGCGTTTCCTCTCCTACAAACCCAAAATAGAAGCAGAGCAGAAAACGGCAGGCAGGAATCAGCCTTTACTCACTTCACACACTTTTGTGCTAAACAAGCAGTTTGCCTGCAAATATGAGTTTTGTTTTGTTTTTACGTCGAGTGGAAATGATACGTCGCTCATTTTTCAACTCCGTGAACACAGACAGCTATGAATACATTTCTTGCACTGTTTTCACTGTGAACACGGCTTAAATTTAAATAAATGCAATTACAGATGCAAAAAAAAAAATGTGTTAGTGGTTTAATTGGTATGAATGTATGTCAGAGGCAAAGCCAACTCGTGTTTTTCCATTAATTAGCAAACAACTCGGATGCATTTTTATGTGCTCGGCATAAAGCGGCACGTTTAATGATGCTATTTAAACCCATTTCATCTCTGCTTGTTTAAGCTTTCAACAATCTGTGACAAACGTTGCGGGCATCGCGCTTCTCAATTTACATCCAAATAAATCCATACGACAAATCTGCTGGGATATATGTGTTGTGCAAAGCTCGGTTAAAATAGACGATTTTTTTTGAGTTTCACACCTCGTTGAAGAGCAGCTCTCTCCTCTGCTGCTTCCTCAGGTCCATCTTCTTCACCGCCACCTGCTTGCCGCTGTGTTTCTCGCTGGCGATGCACACGATACCCGTGGAGCCCTCGCCGATCTTGATAAAGCTGTCCAGGTATTCCCGAGGGTCGCCTGATGTCAAATGAAAACGCATCTTAATTGTGGTGCAACAACAGTGACACACAAAGAAAGAAAGAAAGAAACATCCCTTTTTCACGCTTCAGGGCTTTTCTAACAGACTTCCAGTTTGTACAACGATGTCTGAAGCATCATTGCGGCGTGCTTCCCTGTTAAACAAACTAACGGCTGCAAATGTGCATTAGTTTTCATGGTTTCCTTACTGATAATTGTGAGAAAGAAGTGGGTTCTAGTTAAGCAGATAACTGCAAACATCATACGAGTACCAGAACTGGCTCTTGTGTGCACCGTAGGGCGTTTCAGATGGTGGCCATTTTTCAAGATGGCTGCCATTTCCAATATGTGACCAAACATTCTTTCACACACCAGGATCTTGTCGAGCAATTTTCTTGGTTTTGGTCTCAACATATGTGGAATTTAGCATATTCTAACATGATACCTTACGCAATAATTGCTAGCTTTTGATCAATCTGAAGTGGATCCAAGTGTAGGTTCTAGAAAGTAGTGAGTGTTTTTAACAACTGTGATATTGTTTTAGCATTCAGATGTTTAATGTTCTCAAAGTTCTAATAAACCCTAATCTGTAGAATCTGGAATCAAACAGTAGGAAAAAAACAAGCATAAGTCAATGTTAGTAGGCCATTCAAACTGATATTTCAAAATACCTTCTTAAGTCAAAGTGTTGTTGCAGTCCAAGAGTATCAATAAGTTTGAATTAACTCACCCATCCTTTTGCTGTTTGATTACTACTTTGAATTACAGAGATTTTACTGTTTTTTAAAGGTTCAGATGTGTTCGGTTTCAACAATGAAATGGTATTATTAGAAAAATTGGACAACCGAGTTAATAAAATCTTTAAAAACGTCCCAAAATATGGCGCCAATGTCCGCCATCTTGAAAAATACCATTGCTAACGCTAAAATGCTAACACTTTTTTCCTAAATGAGCTTCCTGTAAGTCATGTGCATGCCAAATTTGATGCTTTATAGACAATTATGTGCCCCACTATTTAAGCAATTTGTTGAAATGAACATCAGAACTTGGAGGAGCTTTATTTGTTTGTAGGTGGCACTTAAATTTTATATATGATAAACCAACATCTTGCTCAGGTCATGATGTTCATCCCAAACATTCTCCGAGTTAAAGCCAGTGTGAGGACATTTCCAGCTGGACCACGACTACGTTGACGCTCTTCTTCTGCTGCTGGACTAATCTTCTCACCTGGGTTGACCACCAGTTGTAGTGCAGCTCTGAACTGCTCGTGGGAGACTCTGGAGGGCTGAGTGTCGGAGCTCGACCCCCATGAAGGAGGCGGATAAGCCCCCGGAGGGATGTAGGGTGACGAAGGCTGAGAGTACGCCCCCTGGAAGAACGACACAGAGGTACACAAAGTGAGACAGAAAAATAAAGATCTGACTTCTGCTCGATCATTTTTGATTTGCTTTAAACTTAATTATTATAAACTGTGGATAATTTTAAATGGTGTCCAAGATGAAGCATGATTTATTTTTTTTGCATATTGAAATTTGACTGATCTGTTTGAGCCACAGTATGTCAGGAACTGTTGAAGATAAAAGCCTGACATTTTCACTGTAATTTCTCATCATGTCACTGATTCACAATTTGTTGTTTTAAAATGTGCAGATTTTTCATGCTCTCAAATATCAATGTGTGAAAAAACACAACGAAAGCAGGTCAACGGGCAATTTAAAAGAATATTGAAATATCAACTGACAGCATAACAAGCATCTTCGAAAATAACCACATTTCATGCTATATATAAAAAATTCAGGCAAATCAGAGCAGAAATTGTTCAAAAAAACTGATGATTCTGCATGACAGATATATTTTTTACCCCTAAATTTACTGTATTTGCGAAAAGCACTCTGTTTTCAAAGGGAAAACATAATAAAAAATCATTTTCCTTTCTTAATCTGCAGCACAGTCATTGCTGTTCTGTGAGAATCAATTTTCAGCCAATTGAGGATTACTTGCATGTTTGTAGGATTTTTCAAGGGAAACATGGTTTTAACTGGACAGAAACAATATTTTAAAAGTCGTATGTCGTATAGGATCATCTGGTCAAGTGTTTGCAAACAAAAGGTTAGACAGACAACAGTTTGATTTGTAGTAGAACTGAATTGTCTGTATGTGCCGGTGCTGTACCTGTGGGGTGTACGGTGGGCTGGGCTGGGAGGGAGGATGGTGGTAGGGCGAGGGCTTGTAATGGTGGAAGATCGGGGGGTACGGTAGGTGCACTGGGGGGTAACCAGGCGGCTTGCTGTGGCTCTGAGGTAGCTTGAGAGGCCCTCGGGGGTAGGTGTCACCACCCGTGACCTGGGGACTGTCATCACGAGACGGACGCTCGTAGTCGGCCTGCAAGAGTCGGAGGAAGGACAATGGATTTTAATAAACACTGTACAGTTACACAGGCAGGGAAATGTGGATTACATATGCATAGGCAGAGGTTTTATTAAGGTGGAAAAAGTGCTGAAGCAACCACCAGAAAGTTTGACAGCTGAATAATCCTGAACACACACCTGCAGCCTTCAAATGTTTCTTTAATAGCTCAGGCTAACATGCTAATATCAGGCTAAATTAATACTGCTGAATCTCGTCATTTAAAAATTGGATTTGTTAATCCTGAGTAAAGTTTTCTTGTATTTTAAATGACAAAAGAGTTTAAAAAACATGGCTGAAAGATGTGATTGCAACCCTCCCAGCATGCACTGGGACAATTCTTCTTCTTCATTCTAGCAAAATACCAAATCTGAGGCAACCGGCCTCCTTGATTTATAATCTGTACCAGTATCAGCTCTGAAAACAGCACATTAGTCAATCCCACCTATGAATTATAGACAAGTTCCATTGGAAAGGCTACAGATGTGCAGAAAGGACACATACTAGAGTAAAGAAACTCTGAATCAAAGTCATCTTGCACTTGATTTGACAGTGGAACAGCCCTGAATCTTCACTCATTGAGCAGAAACACGCCTCAAAATCTGTGAGTCCATCATGTCGGACGTGCAAATGTACATGCACGGCCGTACAGCCTGTGCAGGTACATTAGCCTTAGACGGCGCAAACGGAGAACATTTAGTCCGCGGGACAGGCCTCATACTTCATCCTCACCACCCTGCAGAGCTCCTCGGCTTCTCCATTCATCAGCCGGGAGCCCAGAGAGCTTTCAGATCTGGGACACACCTCTTCCTTAAGAAACACCTTCAAAGTTGTGCTGCACTGTACACTGTGTGTGTGTGTGTGTGTGTGTGTGTGTGTGTGTAACCCACACTGTGAGCATTGCAGAGCTTGACTCAGAGAGAGCTATTAAAAGCGCAGGTGTATGACTCACCTTAAATGACTCATAATGGGCCAGGAGTACACACACTAATGTGCTACACGGTGAAAAAAAATCTCCATTGTGAGCTCAGAGTTGATCATTTATTTACACGTTAATCATCTATTTATTATCAATTACTTGCATGTTTAGTCATGTTCAGAGAATCAAAAGACGTATATTCTACTTGCCAGAAATGGAACCTAATTATGAACCAGGAAATGCTGAGTATCCCAAAGTTTCATAGTAGAAATGTTCTGTATGAGTCATTAGCATTTATTAGCTGCTGAGTGCTAATTTGCACAATAAGCAAATCACCTGTATGGACAACATGTTAGAAACTGCTTTTCAAGGACGATATCTGTTATCATATGGACCATATTGGGCTGGTTTTGCATTTCACTGGATGAGCACGTGACAAATAAAAGCTCCTGAATCTCAAACATACAGAGAAAACAAATTGCATCTCTGCAGCAACACAATGCTTAATTTGTAGTGAATGTTGCGACACATTTGACCCTTATCAAAATATCTGGATATTCCACTTGGCTTTGTTGTGATTTTGATAATATTTTAATTAATTCTTGAGCCCTAATTTATGTCTAATTTAAAGTATAATCGACGGTGTAAGAACTGTCGAACAAACAGGGTGTCATTTTAACACAAGCAGACAACTTTAGGTGTTAATCTGCAGTTTCTACTTATTTTGGATGTGTTTTTAGTCAGAAATCAATGATACAATCTGGTGAGGAACTCCATCCATCCATTATCTATACACTGCTTCATCCTCACTAGGGTCGTGGGGGGCTGGAGTCTATCTCAGTCAACTCAGGGTGAAGGTAGGGTACACCCTGGACAGGTAACCAGTCTATCACAGGGCTACACTTAGAGACAGACCACCAAGCACACTCACATTCACACCTACGGACAATTTAGAATCACCAATTAACCTCAATATGTTTTTGGACTGTGTGGGAGAAAGCTGGAGAACCCGGAGAGAACCCACACTGCACAGGGAGAGCATGGAGACTCCACGCAGAAAGATCCTGGGTGTCCTCACCGGGACGCAGTGACAACCACTGTGACACCTTGCAGCCACGGTGTGGAACTGTTTAGGACAATATTGTGTGCACCTTTGGGCATAATTTACATACATAATAAATGTACACTTCTACGCAGATGACACACATCTGTGTACATGTTATTAAAGGGTTTAATTTTACCCAATGCTTGCCTGTTATAGACATTTAATTATCACTGAGTAACAGCCACCATATTTGTGATTAGTATAATGTGACTGTAACTGTAATCATAGCAGATCTGTAAGGGCGACTGTGGCTCAGGTGGTTGTCTTCTGATCGTAAGGTTGGTGGTTCAATCCCTGGCGCCTCCACAGTCGAAGCGCTCTTGGGCAAGACACTGAACCCGACGTTGCTCCCAATGGCAGGCAGCACCTTGCATGATGAGGGCACCGGAATCTTTCTGTGTGCAGTTTGCATGTTCTCCCCGTGCAGCGTGGGTTCTCTCCTGGTTCTGTGGCTTCCTCCCACAAGGTCCAAAAACATGTTAAGGTTAATTGGTGATTCTAAATTGTCCGTAGGTGTGAATGTGAGTGTGCTTGGTTGTCTGTCTCTAAGTGTAGCCCTGTGATAGACTGGTTACCTGTCCAGGTGAACCTGCCTTCACCCTGAGTCAGCTGGGATAGACTCCAGCCCCCCATGACCCTAGTGAGAATTAAGCGGTGTAGAGATGATGGATGTGGATGTGGCCCGATCATCGCTGTGATCATGTCTAATGTATACAGCCTGTGTACTGGTGACTGTCCTACAATCAGTGTGTCGTTTTAACACAAGCAGGATAAATATCCATATAAACCAGAGTGGATGCACAGAAAAAAGAAAAGAAAAAAAAAACACCACTCCACAAACAGCAGAAGATGAAGCTGCCTTCACCCTGCAGAGACTAAATTAAATTACCTTTGCCACACCTCCCAGAAATGTTCTTCAACCAGCACGATTTCTTTTCTCATAAATCCTCAGGAGGCTGAGAGCATAATGAAAAAACTCTCTCTCTCTTTCTCTCTTTCTCCTCCCCTTTATTTGTTTCTTTCTCTTCGCACAAAGACACACACACGAGTGCAGACAGGGCAGGAGGAGGAGCCCTGATGTGTTGGGATGCTGTATAATTACATGGTGTGAACTCTTTTAATCAATCACTCGGAGGCAGGTGTGCGAGGGGGGGTGGTGGTGCTGGGAAGCCCGGTCTCGTGCCCCCCTATCGCTGGCCGGCACCGCTGGCTGGCTGTCATCCAGGGGTCTCCTGATCCATGTTGGTTAAACGCGCATTAATCTGAGTTTGGCAGGGTAATCAACAACCTAACTCAACTGTGAAATTGAATTCCGTGGTGGAACATCGTTCGGCCAGTTTTATGCTAAGGCTGCAGAAAGGGAAAGTGCCGCAACATCAATTTGTCACTGAGAGCTGCGGCACTGAGCTCACAAAACACACCGAGAGAGAGAGAGAGTAGAAGAAGAAGAAGAAGAAGAAGAAGAAGAAGAAGAAGAAGAAGAAGAGGGAGGAAGCGTGTGTGCTGCAGCTTTGTCTGTGTGTGGCCGAGTCTCTGCTGTCTACCGTTACATCCCCACCGGCTCCAACAACAGCAGGGAGAAAGAGGGATTTACTTCAGCGGTGTGAGTGGGCTGAATGAGGGACGAGAAGAAAAGGCAGAGAATGAGCAGAGAGAGAGGGCTGGGTTTGTTACAAGGTCCGTGAGCCGGGAAGAATAGTGTTTCTGTAGCTGCCAGATGACTCCTTGTTCAGGTTTTTTTTTTTCAAAATCGCCAAAAACTGCAAGGAAACTTAGGGTGCATTGATTCCTGTGGCACAAATTTCACTCAATTTAAGATTTGGCTGAACATTAAACACGTTCTCAGCTGAAATATCACTGAATCATTTACACATTTTAGCTTCCATACACTGTAATGAGTTATAGTCGTGTACTGTTTTTCCTAAATTTGGATTTTTTTAGAGGCAGAAACAAAAATGACTGGTAACGGTCATGAACTCAACAAAAATTCATAAAGTTCCCAAAGCACCGTTTTGACAAACTACTTGATGAAGACAGATAACTATATCATTGTTAACTTTCCAGTAATGAGCTGAGATAGAACATTTTTACAACAGTTACTTTATTTGTTTCTTTCTTTGTAATAAGCAAATTCATTTTTTTGTTGGTTTCTACGATATATTTATTTATACTACACTTTGTCATACAATGCTGCCTTTAAGTGTTTTTGTCTTTCAACAGTTTTTAACTGTAATTTTTTCAAACAATTTACTGTTATTTTATTGATTTTTCCTGTTTTGTTATATTACAAATAATAACTAGCAAAATCGCAGAAAATGTTCATTTGCATTAACTGTAAAAAGAAAAACGTAAATAATTTGTTCATTTAGAATGTTTGACTGTAAAATTAACCCTTTTTTCTGGATTTAAACCAGCCACAAAAAAGCATCATTATTTTACAGATATTTGCTGTTTTTGAAAGAAAAAAAAAAGTACATTAAGGACTAAATAATAGTAAATACCTTGAACAGTTATTTTAGAGATTTTTCTGTTTTGTTAGGTTACAGATAATATCTAGTAAAATCACAGAAAAAAAAGATTAATTCATGCGTTAACCATAAAAAAAATTAAAAAAACAGATCAAAACGGTCAATAACTTCCACATCATAAATCTGTATTTTTACAAACAGTAATTTGATCTTTTACGTGTGACCATTAAATTAGTTTCACTGAATTTAAACCAGCAAAAAAAAGAAAAGAAAAAGAAACACTTTATAGATATTTGTCATTATTTTCACAGTTTTCGAATATGTCACTGTTCCACAGTTGTTGTTTTTTTTTAAAACATATTATTTCTGGCACCCTTTCTGCTAGTCTTTTACCATTTTTTCACAGGTTTTTTAATTTTTTTTTTATTAAAGCATTGGTGAGATAAAACACAAGAGAAAACATTCATGTAGCACAAACAAATTG